CCTGGAGTTTCCCTCAGCAGTTAAAAAAAAAAAAGGTGGAGAAAAACTGTAAAATTATCTCCAAATCATTTGTGCTCATGATACAATCGTTTATGTAAAAGGTGACAATTATGACATTTTGATCTGAAGCAGAAGGAGATGGCAGCTTGTGGTCATCTAAGGTTTCAAGTGCTTTCTTTTCCTTGGGAGTCAAACGTGATTTTATCACACAGCTCTTATTTCAGGGGAATAGTGTTCACCTTAACATTCTAACTTTCCTTCAACTCCTCCATGAACTACAAATCTAGTCTCTAAAACAGACACTCTTTATTTCCTTCACAGTAATAGGAGGAGGGCTCAGTAGCTGAATTTCAAACTCTCTCTCCATGAACTATAGAAAGTTTAATAGTGAAACAGGCTCTCTGCACACTCGTGTGACAGATGGCCACGCTGTCAGCAGCAGCTCATCAGGGCTGATTTTAGTATTAACTGTTGTTATTGTCCAAATGATGAAGATGAAGGAGAAAAGAAAGAAAGGAATAAATTATCTTTACACACACAAAAAGCTGAGACTAGGTGGCAAATTGCATCACCTTTTATTAACAACCATGGTGTGAGCAGCAGCGCATGATGCTTAACAGATCGTCATTTATAGTTGCCTGACCCCCATACCCACCCCAAAACCAGACATGGTAATTACTGTAAAAGAAAAGGATGTTAAACATCTCTTAGAGCTTATGATTGGTCTACCCTCTATATTTCAGGTGCCGGCAATTTAAAAGACCGGCCCAACCTTAAGGGTCAAACAACTAGGCTCACAGTCACTGAGTTAATTCTGACTCACAGTGACCACAGGGCAAGGGGTTGATATTGACAGAGAAAAACTCTTCTAAATAACCTCTCCTTCCTAATTTGAATGTCAAAAGATTTTGAATTCCCAAAGGTTAGGAGTGGATTCTCTAAAATGGATGTCAGCAATCTGTCACTGGAACCTTAACATTGTGTATCTATTTTCAACACTGCAAGAGAACCCTGCCTTTAGGATTTCAGAGTTTTACTAAAATTTAAGTGGAGTTCAGCTAAATATCTAATAAATTGGTTTTAGGATGGTTAAAACAAATCCACACATTGAATTTATACAAAGCTAGCCTTCTAGGATTTAATAATTTCAGCAACCACAAACCATCTCATTCCTGCCAACTTCCCAATTCCCTGATGTCACCCAGAGACGGGCTCTCCTCCAATCAAAGACAAAAGCTTGTCTAACAGACTCTTCTGCATCAGGATCAAACATCATGTCCTTTTCGAAAACATATCCTTGAAAGGAAAAATGTTGTTGAATTCACTAAGCCAATGCCCAAGTGAACTTGCAGTTACATGTGCAAAAAAAGGAAAAAAAGGCAACACTGTGTACTTGCATAGTTATCCCAAAATGTCTTTAGATATATTTAGGAACTGAATTTTTCTTTAAATACAGTGGAATCCAACAGTTTCAATTATTTACCAATGAGGCAGGGAACAAAGAGTAAGAGAAAAAGGGTGAAAAGGGAACTTAAAACTACTTATTTAAAACAAAAAACATTACTTATTTTTAATTTGGACAATTTTAAACTTTGGTCTCACATATGAAAATAGAAGCAAGGAGCTGTAAAGTCTACTAAAACCTCTCTTGACTTTCTGGTGAAAACAGTATGAAAAAAATTTTATTTTCTCTTTCTTTCTACACTGCACAGACTGGCTCGTCTCCTCCCTTCGACCCTTCTGTAAGGGGATGTCCAGTTGCCTACAGATGGGTCTTGGGTCCCCAATCTGCACTCCCCCTCATTCACATTGATTTGATTTTTTGTTCTTTGATGTCTGATAACCTGATTCCTTCGACACCCAAAAAAAAATTTTATACATAACTATTAACTAACCCTAGATTTAACAGAGAACATAAAAGACTATAATATAATATAAAAGTATCCGAGAGTAACCCTTTAAAAACATATTAGGACTATCTGAATTTGAAGTATGGGAAGATGAGGTGAAAGACTTATCAGTAAAACAAAAAATAATTTTCCTTTTTATTCTTAAGTCTGTTCACCTGATCAAAACCTCCATGAGCGAGAATGAGCCAAATTTGGAGATATGAACTACTTAAAATGAACATAATTTCTAACATCCATTCTATATTACCTGGATCCACTCTGGTTTGACAGTTAAGCTTGCTTAATACAAAAGAGTGTAACTCAACCATAAACAGAAGAGCCCTGATGGTATAGCATATTATACACTGGGCCTATAACCCCAAGGTCATTAGTTTAAACCCACCAGCTGCTCCAAGGGAGAAAGATGAGGCTTTGTGCTCCTGTAAAGGTTCATAGCCTTGGAAACCCACAGGGTCACAACGAGTCTGAAGTAACCCGATGACAGTATTTTTTGTTATTTAATGCAAAAAGCCAGGCCAGATGCCTGTTACAACATGAATTGAGTTGGGAAACATTATGCTGAGTGCAAAGCAAAAAAACCCCACACCGCATTGAGTCAATTTTGACTCATAGCAACCCTATATAGGGTTTCTGAGGTTGTAAATGTTTAAGGGAGCGGAACCCTCATCTTTCCCCCTCAGAGCAGCTGCTGGCGTCCTCAAACTGCAGCCCACCAAGGACATTTATCTGGCCCACCGGGTGTTTTTGCCCCGTTTGTTTTTTTACTTCAAAATAAGATATGTGCAGTGTGCATAGGAATTTGTTCATAGTTTGTTTTTTTAAACTATAGTCCGGCCCTCCAACGGATCTGAGGGACAGTGAACTGACCCCCTGTTTAAAACGTTTGAGGACCCCTGATTTAAACCGATGACTTTGAAGTTAGCAGTCCAATGCTTACCCAACAGTGCCACAAGGGCTCCTTATGCCCAGTGAAGTTGGTAACAAAAAAGACAAATATTGTATGATCCCACTTACACATAAAATATCTAGAAGAGTTGAATGCATAGAAATCAACGTGTACTAGTAGTTACTAGGAGTGGGAGAAGGGATTATTGTTTAGGATACACTATTATTATTGTTTAGGATACACTAAGTATCAGTTAAGGAGCCCTGGTTGAACAGTGGGTTATGTTGGGCTGCTATCTACCAGGTCAGCAGTTTGAAACCACCAGCTGCTCAGACGGAGTAAGATGAAGTAAGCCTGCTCCATAATGATTGACAGCCTAAGAAACCTTTGGGAGCAGTTCTACAGGATTGCAATGAGTCAAAATTAACTTGATAGCAATAGGTTGGGTTTGGAGTATCTGTTAATGGTGATGGAAAATTTGGCAAAAGATATGAGTGATACTTGTAACACGATTCACATAATCAACCTCACTGAATTGTTCAATTGTTCATGTAAAAAATATTGAATTAACAACTGTGTTACTTACTCCTTTGACACCCCCCCAAAAAAAAAGTCTGCTTACATATCTTCTGGTTTACCATAAGTTAGGATTTGGGCACACCTCAGGGCAAGATTGGCAGTTCAAATCTACCAGCCACTCAGAGGGAGGCAAATGAGGCTGTTTGCCCCCATAAAGATTTACAGCCTGGGAAATGCTATATAAAGTCACTATGAGTTGGAATCAACTCGATGACAATGGGGTGGTTGGGTTTAATGAGGCTGAGGGGAGGTTTCAAATTAAGTAGTCACTGTATTAAAAAAACAGGCCACTTTTTCACTTAATCCTTCAAGCTTACTTAGAACACAACATGAGTTGTTCTGGCCCTCTAATGCTTTTATAGGAAAGGCAAAAATCACCTCGCAGGACACTAAAAATAGATGTACATAAATAAAACTGCTGCTTATAAAGAAGGGAGCTGTGACTATGCATTCACTCATCTGAGCAGGAATGCCAGAGGTGGAACCCTCTATTCGGCCATTTCAAAATGGCCCGGCTGCAATCCTGGGCCCAAGGAAATGTCCACATCACTAAAACAGCCAACATCTGGCAATCGCGGAGGCAACAGTCACTGGGGACACCAGGCACTTCTGATGGAACCTCCAGAACAGTTTCTGACTCAAACTCACCACCACCTTTTTTCCCTCCTACACACAGTCTGTTGTTTTTCTTGTGGGCTCCTCCGCCCTCCCTCAATCTTTCTCAGTTTCTAACCACCCCGAGCTCTCTCTATGTCTTGGCTCCACTGCCAAGTTCCAATTTCCTGATACATCCTAAGCATGTTACCAGTTCATTTCCTATTATGCAACTCCCAGGCACCCCCTCCTCCAGCACTCAGAGCCACCACCACCCCCATGTTGCTAAGGCCCAATTCTCAGCATCACTCCCTCATCCTCACTGCAATGACAGGCTCCAGGTCACCGTCTCCCACTTAAGTCTTTGGACCCCAAGTTTCCACCTTCCTCGGCCTTCTTTTCACAATGCCCATTCCTTCTGAAAGTTAGGCAGTCTAGAGAGTGGGGCCACCAAAGGCCAGGTGTCTTGAGAAAATGGGGGGGGGGCGCCGGTCTGTGTAAGGGGTTGCTGAGAAGGAATGACACGTGAGCGGGGAACCAGTGGGGTCGACAACTCCAACCACAACAAAAGTCCCGACTCCCCAGCTCCCCAGCCACCGAAAGCGCCCCCTAATGCGTCACTACCTGTAGGTCCCAGTGCTTTTCTTCCACTTTGTTTACCCAATTAACCCCCCAACCCACTTGGCGTCTACCTGCCTCTCCCACCCTTCCCTCCCTACTGCTCGGCGCTCTCCCTACACAGGTTTCAGGACTCCGGGTTTCTCTTCTTATCCCCATCTTCCATCTCCATCCCTTCCAGAGCTCTCTGCCCGGTCTCCTCCTCCCAGGCAGCCAACGTCTCCGACAGCTTCCCTTTTCTCCACTGGACCCAGCCTTCTCTCGCTCCGAACCCCCTGTGACTGGAGAGGCTAGCTCTCTGTCCCCTTGCCGGCACCCCTCGGACGCCTCCAGCTACAGGTGCCCTCCCGGGACTTGCTCTTTGACACCCCCCCCCAGTCCTTAGTCCCCTTCCCATGCCCCGCCCTGCATACCTGCGGACGAGGTGTTGCAGGAATCCGCGAGCGAATACGCGGTCGTCGACGGCCCAGAGGAGGCCGTCGCCATCTTGGTAGCCCCCCAACTCAGCGCCCTCGCTCCCTTTCAAGCGAGCTCGTCTCCTCGGAATCGAATCTTCCTCACGTCTCTTCACAGAACCCGCGTTCCGGGGGCCACCTCCCCGCCCCCTCCGGGGCCTCTCTCGCCGACACGTCGGGCCGGCTCCCGGACCAGTTCAGGGCCGCACCATTAGGCCAGCCTGGGGGGGAGAACGCCCATCTCGCAACCCCTCCGCAACTTTAACCGCTTCCCGCGGGGCTGCTTTCGCCCTTCACAAGGGAGTCCGGCTCAAGTCAGAGGCCCAGACCCCGCGCTGGAGCCGCCCCCCGCCTAAAGGAGTGAGGAGGCGTGAGAAGGCCTGACAGCGAACGCCCCGTTCCCCTCCGCCCGACCACAGCCGGCGTGTCGCCCAGCCCCAAGGCTCCACTCCGGGAGCCCAGGGAAATCCGGGCACCGCGCATGCGCCGACCTGCTCCGCGCTCCGTCCCACTGAATGGACGGAGGCCGTCTGGAGAGGAGCACAGCCAATCGGGAGGCGGACACTGGGCACGTGACGTGGTCCCTCACGCCCAGCGAATCCTACAGTGGGAGACTTTTGCGCTCCCTACGGTGCCTGGGAGGGTCCATTTAGATGCAGTTCTTTGAAAGAACTGCGTTTCGTGCTCCAAACTTCTGGTAAGTCTACGGAGCCTCGGCGGCAAACTCTTTGCTGCCATTGAATCAATTGCTGCTCGGCTCGCAGCGACTCCAGAAGACGGAGTAGAACTGCCTCGTGGGTTCCCGAGACTGTAACTCTTTACCAGGGTAGAAAGTCTCATCCTTCTCATCTTTCTCCTGTGCAGCCTGCGGCTGAGGGTTTCGAACAGCTAACCTTGTGAAAGTACTATGGACTGCCAAAAGAACAAATATACCTACATGGAAGAAGTACAGGCAGAATGCTGCTTAGAGGCAAGGATGGTGAGACACTTCTGCTGTCCTTTGGACATCAGGAGAGACCAGTTCTTGGAGAAGGACATCATGCTTGGTAAAGTGGAGCTCTTTGACAAAGTGGATTGACATGGTAGCTGCAACAGTGGACTAAACATAACAACTCTAAGGATGAGCAGTACCGGCCAGTGTTTCGTTCTGTGGTGCATCGGGTCGCTGTGGTTCGGAACCGAGTGGACAGCACCTCACAGCCACCACCTTGTGGTTAGCAGCCCAGCGAGTTGGCACCACCAGGGCTCCTCATTCTACCTCTCAAATCCAAGGAAGAATGCGTGGAAAAAGAACTTACAACTTACGTTGAATCTGAGACAAGAAACAGGCCAGCACTACAAACCATCACAAACCATCAGCAATCCTTCCTGACCCTTTCCCGGCTTTTCTGCCTTGTTTATTAGTTCACTGTGCTTGCACGTCTTGCCTTTTGAAACATCTCCTGTGTTTTTGAGTGCCTCAAGCACAGGGCTTGGCATAGTGATGGGAGTTCAGTAAATATTTGGTAAATGAGTGAAGTCTTGTCAAAATAGGTCATGGTCACGAGGGCCATTTAATATATCATGACCTTTGTGTGATCCAAACCCTTAGTCAAGATTCTCTATGCTCCAAAGAACAGACAAAACAGAAATTACCTTATTCTCGCCATCTAGACTTTGTAAAGACATTCGAGTTTTTAATAGAAAACCTTGGAGATTCTGAACCCTGCTGGGGAACTGTCTGAGCATATTGTGAGCTACTAGAGAGATAGTCTTGTGTCTCACCATGATTGGGTTTGGGTTTTTTGGTTTTTGGTACTGTCCACTCAGCTCTGACTCATAGTGACCCTGTATACAACAAAAGGAAACACTGCCAGGTCTTGCACTATATGAACAACTGGCGCTGTGTTTGAGCCCAATGGTATACCCATGTGTCAATTCATCTCATGAAGTATCTTCTATTTTGCTGACCCTCTACTTTTCCAAGCATGATGCCATGCTCCAGGGACTGCTCCCTACTGATAACATGTCCAAAGTACATGAACTTAAGTCTTGTCAGTCTTACTTCTAAAGAGCATTCTGGCTATACTTCTTCCAAGACAGATTTGTTTGTTTTTCTGGAAGTCTATATTCTTTGCCAATGCCATATCAAAGGAATTGATTCTTCTTTGGCCTTCCTTATTCATTTGCCCAGTTTTTGCACATATATCAAGCTCAATAATCATTTGTGGCATGAGGAAATGGAAAGGTATGGGGGGAAAAATCAAAACACCTAGGTTTGATACCCCTTAAAATGCCCTGGCTATTCTATCCAGATGTCTTTTGAGTTCATGAAAAGGTATCTAGGACCTGAAAGACCATAAATATTCTTTTCTATCCCACCCCCACCAAAATCCAAGATAATTGCTTCCATGCTGCCACCTGCTGGATTCTTCTTCCCCTGGTGGGTGCTAAAGTAGAAAAAATTCAAATGACTGGATTGCTATTTAGAAGTTCACAGCAGTGGGACTCAATAGCATTGAAGTATTTATGACACCTATACCCCTTACCCAACTAAACAGTAAACAGTCTATGTAAAGTCACACTGTCTAGCACAGGTTTTGGCTCGTAGTAGGTATTCAATAAATACTTGTTGAGTAAATTATTTTTGCTTCCACATAAAGCATGGTGTCACTACCATTTCCTGAGTTACTTTAGTTAATAGCTGATGTAAAAGTAAAAAGCTGTGTTTGCTTGAAAAATTGAAAATAGACCCAGTGAAGCCCTGATTTGTCACTTGGGTGGAGCCCTCTTGAAATAAGAGATTTCTGTTTTGTAGCTTTTTAGGGGTCTTAGTTTCTCCTTTATGCCCCAGAAAGTGTTTGCTGTTAATGCCTTGTAGTATGTCAACCTGTTTACTATTTGTCTCCCTCAAAATCTATGAACTCTTCGGGATCAAGATAGCATCTTAGCAAATTTTCATATCTCAAGTAACTACAGTAGGTACCCAATACATAATTCTAAATATGTGAATGGATGAAGGCCAAAGTTAAGAAGTGGAGTTAGAAGTATTTAAGAAGCAGGCATCTCCTACCCCCACCCACCCATCGAAACCTTGTCTCTGTCCCCACTCCTACTCCATCCTTAAAGTGTCCTCTGAGTCACAGAGTCAGTCGGCTCCAGTAACATTCCTAGCATAACAAAACAGGGATGACGTGGCAGGGTGTGGAAGCAAGGGCAGGGCAGGACAAGTTGGCTTGGTGCTCCTAAGGAAGTAAAAAAAAAAAAAAAGTTCACCCATATACACTTTGGGAGGGGCAGGGGCCAACCTGATGACCACAACATAGAACCTAGAAGGCATACACACTTTAGAAAAGCTTTCTTTACATCTTAAAATAGTTCCTAAAGTAAGAATGGTGTGGCAAAAGAAGTCAGGTGGTTGACAAAGGCAACATAGAGGCAAAAATAACAGAATCGGTATTTATTAATGACATTTGTGTCTAGTTAACTCAGTCATCCAATGTAGATTATTTACCGGTAACCACAATTGCCTCACTACAAGAGTTCCCAGTATAGTAGATAAAGTCACTGCCTTCAAAAAGATCAAAATGAATAAGGAAGACAGACACACAAACCATGACAATCAAATGTCTCATCAGAGAAGACAGACAAGTGCTATGCTTTGGCAGCCCCATTTTCAGATAAAGCAAGTGGACAGATATTGACACCGAATCCTGAATATGCTACAGATTATTTTAAATTGGAACTATCCCAAAAATTCTAGGAGGCATGATCCCCATACAGGAACTGTGCCAGGAAAGAGAAAAATGGATGTGACAGAAGACTTCACTGTCTTATAGAATGAGAATTGTGCCAGGGTGACAGGAAAGAATGGGGATTCTAAGGAGAGGAAAAGGTATGGAGGTGTAACAGAGAACTGGGCTAGAATAAGATGTCTGTGTTGATATGGTAGAGGTGAGTTAACAGGATATATATATATATATATATCCTGTTATAAGCTATATTCTTCATAATAGCTTAAAAAGGTAAGTATGCCTTCAAGACCCCAGACGCTATATCCTCTGATAGCCGGGTACCATCAGCTCTCTTCACACTTGCTTATTCACCAGCTTTGTCCTCAGCAGTTGTGTCAGGAAGGTGAGCATCATAGAATGCCAATCCAATAGAAGAAAGTATTCTTGCATTGAGGGAGTACTTGAGTGGAGGCCCAATGTCCTTCTGCTACC